TAACCTTATGTTAATACTAAACCTCAAAGAATGTTTCATAAATTTGTCAAAAAAAAAAAATTCAACTTATCGCGCAATATTTTTTAAAGAATTCAAAGAATTTTTCAAAAATTTTACTTTGGAGTTGGAGTCGGAGTTGGAGTCAGAGTCGGAGTTGTATTCAAAAAATTTCAACAACTGGAGTCGGAGTCGTTACTTTTTTTTTACGACTCCACACCCCTACATAATATATATATTATGTATATTTTTGTCATTTTTTTGAAAATAATTTTCATTGAAAATTTTATATCAATTGTTTTGTTTGCAAAAAAATTAAAATAAAATTTTCAAAGAAATAAACTCAAATTAAATTTACCTATAGCTAGAAGAATTTATGCATTAATAAACTATTTACAACTAACGTAGTTAAAATATATTACGGTATACTGAACATCAAACAAATAAAATCTGTAATGAAAATATATAAATATCTTATAATATATATAAGCTAAGTACTGCAATTTTTTAAGCTAAGTAATGCATATATAAAATTACTATAATAAGTTCATCAAAAAAAAAAAAAAAAATTCATAACACATTTTTTAACAACAACGAATTATTTTGTTACAATATTAAAAATTTAAGTTTCACACCATTTAATGATCATCTTTGTAAATTTGTAAACTAATTATCAAGCACACATTTTGAATTTAAGCAATTGGATTTGGATTTAAGAGTGTTATAAACAAATATTATAAAAGTCGATATAACAAATGATAAACTAAATATTTTTTTGTTGTGGTACTAAACCTTTACCTTATATATTAGGAATCAAATAAACTTTGAAGATGCGCTATCATAAATTTTCAAAAAAAAAAAAAATTCACCTGTATCATGGCCTACTTTAATTACACGACCTGATTTGTTGCATTTTCCGGAAAAAATTAAGAGGCCAGTTTTTTTACGGCTCAAGTATAAAAACTTAATTTTCTATATGGTTATGAGTCTTGTTTGCACTATAATTAGTTTATTCTTATTTTATTAAAATGGTTTAATAATAGTTAGATTTTGTTTGAGTACTCACACTATTTTGTGCTGGATTTTTTGTTAACTGATCGCCTGTTTCAGTTTATTCTAACAACACAGAATACTACAATAGGCTTTCAGATAGCTATATCAACACATACCAACATGCTACTAAAAATAACCTTACATGTTGCTAAGATTGTCTCATACTCTTCATTGAAAAAAAATCAAAGGTTTGTAGTTTTGTCTTTTTTATAAATGAAATTAAAAGAAGAAATACCTTTTTACTAGGAATATTTATTTTGTCTTAGCCTTTTTTGTAATTTTTTTACTTGATCTTTACTCAATGAATATGTAACTTCTTTTTGCAAATTGTTATAAAAATATTATTAACAATATGAGATCTTTATTTGATTCCCCACTTTTGGTGCTTTTCATTGTAAAATTGTCATTGCTACAACAAATCTATAAAATTTGTTTTGCAAATTTTTAATTGAAAAAGAATGACTGCAATTTTTTATTTGAATAAGAGAAATAGCATAAAATACTAAACAGAAGACAAATAAAGTTAGACAGGTTAAATTGCATATAAAGGTTCTTCTCTGAATAAAGTAACATTTGTTAATCATAAATTTAGCATAAAAATCTTTTTGTTAATTTTAACATTTATTCCTTGCTTTAGTATATAAATCTGTGCTGTTTTTAAAAAGCTGACACTAGTAATTATGTAGACAACTAAGCTAAATCTTGCATAATTTTTTTTAATGATTATCAAAATTTTGATAAAATATTTTTTGGGAAAATCCGCGAAAATCTTTTTACTAATGCATGTTTCTAATTATACTTACTTTTTTACTAATGCATGTTTTTAATTATACTTACTAAAACCTAGCTCCAAAAGATTACTTTGTAAATTAGAACTAAGAACAACTGCAAAGCCTTCCTCAAAAAAATCATTCATAAGAGATACAGTTGCTTGTAGGGTTGTTATAAGAGCACAAGAAGTTTTTTTCGTTAATGTAAAGTATTTATCAAATTTTATTTTGATTAAATTTCAGTGCTATTTACAATTTCTCTATAAAGTGTGGGTTTATTATCAGCTTTGCTGAGTTTGATTGGATAAATCAAACTCAGCAAAGCTGAAACATAGATTGGATGTTTCTAAAATATGTGACTTGATAATTAATTTTACTTGCCTGTTTAATAATTAATCTCTTAATAAACTTTAAGAAATATATTCCCTGCAATGTAACTAGCAGTAACTTTACATAGTCTCTAGAAAAATCAAATAAAAAAGAATTTTTTTTTTTTTTTGCGTTTAATAAGTTTTTTCTTACATTTTTTATAAAACGAAATATATCAAATAATAAGTATGTTTTATACACTCCTTTTTTAAACTGAATGATAAATTAATAGTTTTCCATCACCAATATATGATTTATGAAACTATAAAAATGCATTAACATTGGTAGAATGATTATCTGTCACAACAGCCCTTATCTTAAATTCAGATTGGCGCATTGAGGTAATACACTCATCAACTTCTTTTTTCAAACATAAACTTGTTATGTAAACTTTTGGTGAGGATTTTAAAATTAAAACAAAAACAACTTTATAAAGATTATTTTCTCAATCTTCATCAAATTGTTTACAACTTTGAGATTGAGCTGCTTTTTGGAAGTACATCTTAACCACAAGAAGCAGATAATCACTTAACAACAAATTTTTGTCAATAATATTTCTAATATAATATAGTTTTTTAATTTGTAATTTTCACCACTGCGAAACCATTTTAATAAAGAAATATGAAAATATGAAATATGATAAGCATTTATTAGGCAATGAAAAATTAAGAACTTTTATTAACAGATATTGACTCCAAAACAGTTGGTATGCCTGATATTTCTTGGCCTGTTTTGTTGCATTTTAATTGCTGTATGTATGAAACACAAGCATAGTAGAGTTTTTACATTTCAAAACGTTGTTTTGCAGTGTAAATATTTCAAAGAAAAATCGATTTTTTATATCTAATAACTGCAATTATAATAAATACAAAAGTACAAACCTTTAAAATTATTTCCAATGGAGAGTTGTGGGTAGTTTTAGCAACATGTAAGGTTATTTTTACAAGCATGTGGGTATGTGTTGATATAGCTATCTGAAAGCCTATTTCAGTATTCTGTGTAATTGGAATAAACTGAAGCAGGCAATCAGTTAACAAAAAATCCAGCACAAAATAATGTAAGTACTCAAATAAAATCTAACTATTATTAAACCATTTTAATAAAATCAGAATAAACCAATTATAGTGCAAACAAGACTCATTACCATAGCGAAAATTAAGTTTTTATTCTGGAGCCGTAAAAAAACTGGCCTCTTAATTTTTTACGGAAAATGCAACAAATCAGGCCGTGTAATTTAAGTAGGCCATGCCTGTATATGTGTATATATATGTATGTCTATATATATATATATATATATATATATATATATATATATATATATATATATATATATATATATATATATATATATATATATATATATATATATATATATATATATATATATATATATATATATATATATATATATATATTATTATTATTATTATTATTATTATTATTATAAATATATTTCAGACAACAGGCAGATACAATTTATGTGCAAGGTCCATAGTTTTTACCAGAAAAATATTATTTTAAACTTTGATTAAGTGAACGCATGGAATTATTCACTAAGGAACAAGCCATCAACTGTTTACAAAAAGCATGTCTGTAGTTCGAGATAATTGTATGAAAAGACGGTAATCTGTGCTCTAAAAGCATGAGAGATATACTATCTTACTTGTTGTAGCCAAAAAAACATTTTTACCACATTTGTTGTAGCAAAACTGAAGGCGTGCCATTGTTTTATCATGATAATTTTGCCACAGAGGAGCACAATATAAACAAATGCAATTTGATTTAAATAATTTAACCTTTACTCTGGTAGAGCATAAATGAAAGCGTCTCATTAAAATATTTGTACGTGTATAAAGACCCTTCATCTGCTTGATTATATCAAGATCATCAGTTAGTTTATTTTTAATTATATGGCCAAGTTATATACAATATTCAACATCTATTCAAGAGTCAGGCTATTTGTCAGTCGTTGTAGCAGCACTTCCTTGCGAGTCAGGCTATTTGTCAGTCGATGTAGCAGCACTCCGTTGCGAGTCAGGCTATAAGATAGTCGATGTAGCAACATTTACGCATGTTTTAAAAATGTTTTTTAATAAAACAAAAACAAAAACACCACTAATAAAAAAAAACTTTCTAGTCGTTATTATTGCAGTTTTTAAAAAATTTTTTAAAAAACAATAAAATTTAATGTACTTCCGCATTAATTTAATTGCTTTGACATTTCGACGACAATCAAATACAGCTTAAGAGACGAGGTAATTAAAATTGTAGTCGAAAGAGACTTTTTACATTAAAACTTCGACTACACTATAAGGATATATATATATATATATATATATATATATATATATATATATATATATATATATATATATATATATATATATATATATATATATATATATATATATATATATATATGTATATATATATTTGCATATCATATACATTAATCTTATTTATAACTACTTCAGCTATGTAAAATAGATGTTTAAAACTAAATAATCTTTTCTTAACTGATGAGAAAAATAATTTATTTAAAAATTTTTCAAAAACTCTTTAAATTAAATCTCGAAACCAGTCTTCAGTTCAAATTCTTAAAGAGAGTAATGTTAAATAAAGTTTTGTTATCTTTCTGTGCACCTTCAGCGGGTCGTTGATACGAGTTTCAACATAAAACGGCAAAGCAATAGAAACGGTCTTTATTTCCAGACTATTTATTCTTATGACTATGGTATGAGTACTTCTCATCTATGTCGGAAGAATAGCCATTTTACAATGGGATCCAGTGTCAAAACAATAACCACGGCCTTTTTTAAAAATTCGGTTCCAGGTGTAAAAAAAAATAACAAAAAAAAAACTATAATTGTTTCCGGTTACAAGAATATTTACGGTTTATATTTACGATTATTAGCCTTTTTTTTGTCACCATGTCAAAAAATTCAAAGCCCAATAATGTGAGGTGTGTATAATGAACTTTATAAATATAGAGGACTATTAATGAACTTTATAAATATAGAGGACTATTTAATACAAAACGCAACAGCTAAAATCCGAAACATCTTACTGAAATAAAGATCTTTTAATAAACAAAGTTCACATGCTTGAATCAATCATAGGCATTATGGATCTTAAATACAGTTCTTAAGAACTGTATTTAAGTCTTTATGATCAATAATGCTTATGATTGATTCAAGCACGTGAATTTTATTTATTAAAAGAATAACAAGGATGAGAAACTAAGATCTTAGATCCTAATCCTTGTTATTCTTTTAATAATTCCAATCATAGTTTCTTTTTTTATTAAAAAAGTTAACTAAGGAAAATTTTTTTTTCTTACGAAGTTAACACTAACTAAAATAGTTATGATAACTTGCTTAATGCGTCATTTTACCTCAACAATATAATATGTGCTCAAAATTACTCCACATCACTTTGACGAGATTAAATTCAAACTCAAAAACATTCTTGATAGCATCTTCATTAATTAACTAGCAAAATAAAACAGAAAAATGTGCTAACACAAATATATGCTACAGAATTGTCTATAAATAATTTGTTTAACAGTGATTCTATTTGATCCTACATAATAAAAGACAAGTAATCAGTAATTGTACTTTTATAAAACTTTAAAAATATTTTTTGTAAACATGCTACAATAAAATATCTTACTAAAAAATCAATTTAAATGATATATATATATATATATATATATATATATATATATATATATATATATATATATATATATATATATATATATATATATATATATATATATATATATATATATATATATATATATATATATATATATATATATATATATATATATATATATATATATATATATATATATATATATATATATATATATATATATATATGTATGTATATATTAAATAACCAATCAAATCTAGTAACAGATTTAATTTATTCAATATATAACAAAAGTATATTAAATTTGTTCAATAAATTCTAAGAAAAGAAACTTTGTTTATATGTCACATTTATCATAAAATTTTTTACAAAAATGCTTATCTCTTGTTAACATCTCAGAAAAAAAAGTTTGATACACAACTTAAGATAAGGTAGATAGTAAGTAATTATATCAAAAATAACAATGACAATAATATTAATAATAATAGTAGTAATATTAATAATAACAATAATAACAATAGTAATAATAACAACAACAATAATAAAAACAATAATAATAACAATTAAAATCTGTGTACTCTGAAATGAGGTGGGAATACAAGGTTGGGTGGGAATTTTTGTCCAGATCTAATAAATAAGGTAGAGAGGGTCTTAATAAATGGTTGAGAAGGAATTTTGTTTTTTATCAGTAAATTTATATTTTCTATTTTTTAAAGTCAGTTTACACTAAAAGTTTTTTTTTTTTAGTTTCGAGATATAGTTTCTTTGTTGGTAACAAGTAAAAATTAATAAATGGAGAAAGGGAAAAGGGGCCTAAATAAGCTTGTGGTGAGTTGCGGAGTTGCGACTTTTTTAGCGAAGTCGGAGTCGTGATTTTGTTTAGCAACAATAGTAAAACTTCTGGGTATTGCACGTGCATATATAAAACATTAAGTTAACCTTATGTTCATACTAAACCTCAAAGAACATTTTGTAAATTTGTCAAAAAAATTTTTTTTCACTTATCACGTAATATTTTTTAAAGAATTCAAAAAATTTTTCAAAAATTTTGCTTTGGAGTTGGTGTCAGAGTCGGAGTTGTACTCAAAAAATTTCAACAACTGGAGTTGGAGTCATTACTTGTTTTTTACGACTCCACACCCCTGGTTGCAATGTTTCTATAATTGGATTGCATTTTTACTTGAATGTTTTAAAAATAAAATTAACTTTTTATTCAGTTTTTACAGTTTTTTTGTTTCATTTTTAGAACACATTTATCTCAGGGTTTGCTTTCAACAAGCAGTGGGATTTATAGGTATGCTTTTTTTAGAGATGTTTTTTATATTGCTTTTACAAATCATGTTGTAAATCCATTTAGCACCCAAATTTTTTCTTCTTAAATATTTTTTAAAATATACATCGTGTTATCTATATTCTTTTCACAGACTTACAAAAGTATTCTTTGATAATTCCTTCTATTCTCTTGAAAATAGTTAACAAGTGTGACCTATGATTTTTTTCCCTGTTGTAAAGCAAGGGTGGCCACAGCTTCTATAAAATTCTAAAAAATAAAATTTCCCTTATAGAAGATAGTAGAATTCTTCTACTATCTTCTATAAGGGTAAAAATATGAATACATTTTTTCTTTTTAATTCCTTCCTTTAAATCTTCCAACTCCTCCATTTCAAATCTTTATTTATGGTATGCTCTAAAAAATTTTTAGAGAGTTTTTTTTAACTAGAACTGAGCTACTATTTCACTTTATTATACAAACTTTTATTGACTTCCAGTTTAAAGCTAATATTATTTGCCATCAGTTTAAAGTTAATATTATTTGTTACCAGTTTTATTTTATTTGCTACCAGTTCAAAGTTAATATTATTTACTATCAGTTAAAAGTTAATATTATTTGCTATCAGTTAAAATTTAATATTATTTGCTATCAGTTAAAAGTTAATGATATTTGCTACCAGTTTAAAGTTTATATTAACTTTTGCATTACCTGGTTGATGGCACCCATATCAGAAGTAACACTATTAAATTTTAAACCTATTTTTTCAGTATAATTTATTGTTGATAGAAAAATATTTTATTAAACACCTTCATTAACAGAACTTCCAGCATAATAGTATGCTATAGTTATTTTGCATATTGTAAATATTCCTCCAAGCATAAAAAGTAAAGCATGGTCAGTTTGATCATAATGTTCAGGTAATGTAACAAGCCCGCAGTATGAGCTTGTAAATGTGTCAACACTTTTAGATATTGACACTTTATCATTTAGATATTATACTTTATCATTAAAGCACCTTCTTTTTCATGAATTTTTTTAATAAACTCAAACACTCTGTTAAAATGCCTCTTCAGAATTTTAAGAGATTTTTAATTTTAGTTTAAATTAAGTAAGTTTTCATAATTACCTTGATTTCATGTTAATTTGAGTTCTAATTCTTCATTTATAGTATCATTTTACCAATAAATAAATTTCATATTTTTTTTACTTAAGGATAAAATTTGATTTTCTTTAAATAATGTAATTAATCTAAATTTCTCTCTTTCAGAGAATTTTTTTTGAATAGAATTTATTCTTGCTTTAGTTTTAAAATGTTTATTTTTTTCTTTTGTATAATGACTTTTTTCCTAATCCTTCAATTTTGCATTTAAATCTTGAATAAGTTAATTTTTATCAATGTCACTAGCTCAAAGTGACTCAGATATCTCATTGTCACTTCATATGTTATGTATTCATATGGATTCTATGATAAAATCATTTCCAGAACGAATTACATAAAATTGCATTTTTTTTTTTTTGTGCATACTTCACATAAAAAGCTTGTGTTTGTATCCAGGTATTCAATCATGTAGCTATAGAAGTCCAAATACACTGCTGTTTTTAACATCTTGAAAAGTAAAAAAAGGTTATTGTTTTGTCAAAATCATCATATCAAGTATCCACATTTGGCAGTGATGGCAAAAAAGTATTAATGCATACCAACCACTAATGCAAGTACTGGACTCTAATGCAAGTAGTGGAATATTTTCAACAAGAAAATATTGATTCCACTTATTCATCCGAAAAAAGCAATTAAAGTTTTTCCAACACGATTCTTTTTATTCATGACAATATTAGCCTTATTTGATTTTAATTTATTGAAAAAAAGAAACTTTTATCTTGATTTATAATTAGATTTGTTTTGTTTATCTTGAAAACATTACTACTTTACAACCTAGTTGACCATGTTGCTTCGCTTGTAGCCATCTCTAATACTGTCAGCAAGTGGAATGGCTTTTTCTAAACTCTAGTTTTTAGGTTACATGAACCTAAAACATTAAAATGTATCGTTCGTTAAAAAATATTGTTTCATTTTTATTTCTCAATCATATTAAAATTAATAAAATTTAAAACAAAAATAAACAAATAATATTTACAATACAAGTACTACCAACATATCCAACTAAACATAACTAAATAAAGAGAGGTGTCCTCCACCATATTCATTGTTTACTAATTGTCTTTTAAACCTGTTCAATTTGGAATGAATTGATTCTTCCCATTGTTTAGCAAAATTAGATAAGCTACATTAATGAGCTCAAGTGTTTGACCAAAACAAGAATTTTTTACAACCTTGAAATATTTCAAACATTGAACAATTGGAAATCAAGAAATTCAAATAAAACAACTTTAACTCATCTGCACATCTTTTCAATCACATTTAATCATTTGTTTTGATTTGTTCCCGTCTTTCTCTTCTTTGATATTGTTTTTGTAGTACACAATTGTCTTTCAAAAAATTATCAAATCCTAGCCACAGATCCATCTGTTTTGTTCTTTGGCTTGTATTAAACTTTTTTTCTGAAAGTAACAATCTATCAAAAAAAGCAAGCAGTAAACAAAATTATTTCACAATCTAGAAAAAATGCTTTTAGAAGCCATGGAGCATACCATTTTATAGTATTGCATGTGTTTCAGACTTCATGATAAAAAAAAAGAACAATAATAAAAAAAATTTTGTCATGATAAAAGTCCTTTGCATTTAGACAGCTTCTGCTAAACTCAAAAACCGGCAATCAGTATTTGCACTGAAAGCAGACACACCATAGATGATTGTTTCAGTATGACATCATCAGCAGGGTTTTATACAAGGCTAAGTATGTGCGTGAATGTATGTAAATATCTAGTAAGATATTTACATACATTCACGCACACAAGCATGTACTCACATAGTTTTATATATATATATATGTATATATATACATATATATATATATATATATATATATATATATATATATATATATATATATATATATATATATATATATATATATATATATATATATATATATATATATATACTATAAGTCTGCTTAACATAAAATTTTACGCTATCTTAACATTAAACATACTTTTATTCAGTTTAGCGTTTTCTTATATTTTAGATCTCATTAATGGTGTCTCGCTTGTGATTTTAATGCAATTGTAAAATTGTACAATCTAATCACAAAGTTTTTTTTTCTGCTTTACGTAATGATTATGGTAATCATTACGTAAAGCAGACATTAAATTTTTTATTTAGTTTTTTTGTATCTTAAGTGAATTTAATTACAGAATTTGTTTTCTAAAGCAAGTATATATATATATATATATATATATATATATATATATATATATATATATATATATATATATATATATATATATATATATATATATATATATACATATATATATATATATATATATGTATAAAAAGTTTTTATTTCTATATATATATATATATATATATATATATATATATATACATATATATATATATATATATATATATATATATATATATATATATATATATATATATATATATATATATATATATATATATATATATATATATGTATATATATATATGTATATATATATATATATATATATATATATATATATATATATATATATATATATATATATATATATATATAAAAAGTTTTTATTTCTATATTAAAATATAGAAATAAAAACTTTTTAATAGTTATATTTAAACTATGAATTTATATAATAGTTATGAAAATTAAAAAAAAATCTTTGCATGAACAGTTAAGGAAAAATTAGTAACTTATTTTTAACTATTTATTTATATGTAGTTAAAAAAAACTTTGTGATTAGATTGTACAATTTTACAATTGCATTAAAATCACAAGTGAGACACCATTAATGAGATCTAAAATATAAGAAAACGCTACGATGAATAAAAGTATGTTTTACGTTAAGATAGCGTAAAATTTTATGTTAAGCAGACTTATAGTATCAAAATTATTCTTCACATTTAATGTAAAAACTTATAGTATCAAAATTATTCTTCACATTTAATGTGAAGAATAATTTTGATACTATAAGTCTGCTTAACATAAAATTTTACGCTATCTTAACGTAAAACATACTTTTATTCAGTGTAGCGTTTTCTTATATTTTAGATCTCATTAATGGTGTCTCGCTTGTGATTTTAATGCAGTTGTAAAATTGTACCATCTAATCACAAAGTTTTTTTTAGCTACATATAAATAAATAGTTAAAAATAAGTTACTAATTTTTCCTTAACTATTCGTGCAAAGATTTTTTTAAAGTTTCATAACTATTATATAAATTCATAGTTTAAATAGAACAATTAAAAAGTTTTTGTTTCTATATTTTAATAAAAATCTTCTAGTTTACAAAAGCCATTTAAAACAGAGATTCATTTAAATAATGTGATATTATAATATCACACTATATCACAATATTTAATATTAAATAACATAAATCCAACTTACTTAAAATATTTCAATATAATTAGCTCAGATTGTCATCAGACATAGCATAAAATAAAGTTTAAAATAGTGGTAATGCAAGGGTAAATATTCTCAATTAGACTTATATTCATCGATAAATTTTAAGTTTCATATTATTATCTCTCAGCATTCAAAATTTATAAAGTTTTAACCCCTCAATTTGAGAGAATTACAAATTTTATATTGTCATAATTTTAGAACGCTGTGAGATAATACTATGAAACTTGAAATTTATTGTGAATTATTGAAACCTGCTACGGGCGTATTAGAGACACACACAAGAAAAGAAGGTCCTCTTTTGCGGTGAAAGTAATTGTGATTACTAATTAGGAAAATAGTCGTGCTCGATTACCGTAACACTAACCCTTACGGGCTAGGCCCAATATTATTTTAAAACTTTGGCATATAAAATTCGCTGAATGGTCACACACGAGCAGTGAATGTCTGAAGTAAGATATGAAGTACATTAGAATAAAGGAGAATTGTTTATTAGACAAAGCATATTTTGACATTTGTCAAGACAAAAATAAAGATTATTAGAGGAATATTTAAAAATAAATAAGACAGGCTATACACCCAAAACAGTACTCAACAATAATAACAATAAAAAAAAATAATATTTGCAATTTGCCGAGTTCAAAACTTGCAACTATAGTTCAAATGCTTATAAGACAGCTTCGGGGAGGGTGACACCCCTATAACTCCAGGACTCCGGGATTTTTTAAAACTATATTAGCATATAACTTTGCCAACAAGCCCTTATTAAGTTCTATAAGATTATTATTTTATTATTATTGCCAATAGTAACGTTTTTTTTAGCCAAAAGCACAAATGTATTGAACTTTGTTACGTATTGCAATCCCTCTGCATATAAATTATTCAAAAAAACCGGCATCGGGTTTATGGCATATATCGTCTATAGCATACCTTGCTTTTAAAGAATATAAGAGGCGAATCAAAGCATATGTGGTGTACAAAATCTTTAGTGTACACTGATAGTTAGATGCCGAGTTAAGCATTCAAACCTGCGTTGATGCCAATATAAAAGAAATATTTTTCTAGCGCTTTTCTAATGATGTTGTGTAATAAAGATTGTAATAAAGAAAAAAAATCGTTGTTTTAACTCCTCCTTTTATCAATGATATTATAACGTTTAAGCACGTATTCTGCTACATTACTGAAAAATGTATTCTATTATGACTTAAAGTAAATGTTTTTGGTACTTCTGTATCATGAACAGCATTCATAATTTTTGCTTAGCCCTAAATGTGCATGATCATCATGTGCGTTATACTCTGTATAAAATATTCCAGTTTCTTGCTAGTAAGTCTTTTTAAACAAAGTAAACACGAGAAGTATAATTTTACAAGTGTAGCAATTGACGTCTATTAAATGCGTCTTTAGAATAAAATTTGTAATATTCTTTAAGTTTTTATAATTTATAATTTATATTATAAATATAAAATTTATAAACAAAAATCAATAGTATTTCACATCACATAATATGAATCATGAAATGCAACAATATATATCATATTGTTGTAACTGTTTCTAAGTTTTTTGTATGACGCTTTTGGTAATTATTACTTTTAAAAAACTGTTAAATAAGGAAACTTTAAAGTTATAAAAACTAAATAAACATGTTGATGTTTAGATATATGAGGGATTATATAATAAGCAGGTATATGATATGAGAAAACAATAATGAAAATACTGATCAAACTTTGCCAATAAAAAAAGTGATTTGAATGAAACTTTGACAATGTATATAATTGAAACCTGGTATCAAACAAAATTATTTTTTGTTTAAACTGTTTTTTCATAAAAACTCTTGCATTTTTTTAAATTTTCAGCTAAATCAAACTCATATTTACTCTAGTTTTATCCTTCAGCTAACTAAGATAAAAAAACCAGTTCCTTAGACTGCTTGTCGGCTTCAAAAGTATTACACAATAGCAATTTGTTTCTTTTTCTTTACGCTTGAGCATTTTTACCCCTATTTCCATCTTATTCTATATTCTTCAGTTGCTACTAAAGACTGTGATTAGAAAAGAAAGATTTTGGTTAAACTTTAAAATGTTTATACACTGATGATAAAGAGTGATAAATAAAAAAAAAATTGATTTTGTAATTGGCATTATAATGGATGAAGTTAAAATATCTCCTTAAAAACTTTAACATGTTTTTTTTTTTAAATTTAGATTTATGTGGTAATTAGTTAAGCAAGATTTTTGCGCCAAAAAAAAAGTTTTTAATTGTATACTAATTTCAATTTTAAATTTGCCTACTAAATGTATTCGTCATTTACTAAGTGTGTTTGTCATTTACTAAAGGCGTTTATCATTTGCTAAATGTATTCGTTGTTTTTAGTTTAATATTAAGCATTATTATTTGTAAAATAAATTTTTTAGCTTGTGTTTATTTGCAAACCGTTGCATTTTATAAGCATTTACTGACAACTAAACATGCTTTCATATTTCATGATCCAATAGTTTAGGTTCTTAATAACTTAAATGTTAACACTAATAATAATAAAAAAATTAATAATTAATTTGCAAACTAATAAGTTTTCAAGTCAAAAATACGTTTTAGAGAAATTGTAAAAACTGTTCTGTTTTCTAGGATCAAAATTGATTGTATATGTATATGTTGTATAAGATATACACTTTACAAAGTATTGGATTATTGTTTTATATAAGGTATCACTAAACTTATATAGCAAATAAATATTATTTATTAACAATTATAACTCAGATAAAAAAGAAGAATTTCAAATAAACTATGAAAAACAAGATTTTTATAAATGTCTGTTTAAGGATACATTTTTACTATTGAGAGATATACACTGATAAAAAAAGAAAGCAAAAAATTTGAAGAGATCCATCAACCAATCACATTTTTTTTATTTCTATTTACTTTATAAACAATTTTAAAAGTATAGTCTAATTTTTAATAACTTAAACCAAGTAACTTTGCTAAAGTTTAATCGCAAAACGCAATGCAGACAGCAAATTGTCCGCTTTACGAAACGGTCTGTTTTAGGATGGATTTTTCATACATATATGTCTGCTTTAAGCTGATTTACAAACATATATATATATATATATATATATATATATATATATATATATAATATATATATATATATATATATATATATATATATATAATATACATATACATATACATATACATATATATATATATACATATATATTATATATATATATATATATATATATATATATATATATATATATATATATATATATATATATATATATATATATATATATATATATATATATATATTTATATATATATATATATATATATTTATATATATATATATATATATATATATATATATATATATATATATATATATATACATATACATATATATATCTATATATATATATATATATATATATATATATATATATATATATATATATATATATATATATATATATATATATATATATATATATATATATATATATATATATATATATATATATATATATATATATATATATTTATATATAAAGTTAGATCCAATCAATTAAATCGTTTTTTTTCTTTTTAACAGAGATTTAGCAGTTACAAATTCTTCCAAACATTTCAAAGGTTACTTTTTACAAATTAATTTTTGTATCTTGAAAATTGAAAAGTATGAATTACAGTTAAAAAAAATTTTTTTCAGATAAACATTTACCAGAAAATTTTAATGATGAGGAACCAAGAAAGTATGTTTTGCTAATTGTTTTTGCTAAAATCACTTCTTTTTTTTAAAAAATTATTTTTAATTTTTTTTATATTTTTGATAAATTAAAAAAAAAAAATTGTTTTAAAAAGTTTTAGTGAATTTGAAGATATGAAAGATATAAAGATTCTAATTTAATACAAATTATGAAAATTATTTAACAATGTTGTAAAGTATATAAAATTTGTACTAATAACATTATGCATCAAGGTGTACCATCATACCATCATACATTGACATACACCATCATACACAAACATGCACCAACATACACCATCATTACACCATACACTGACAGATACCATCATACACCAACATACAATGTCATTTTAGATTTGCATGAAAAGACAAAAAAACACAAATTATGTGATGAATTGTGTTTTCTTAATAATCCAACAAATTTTCTATAAAAAAATTTGTTTTGCAAGAGATTTGGACTCTTTGGCTTAAATGAAATAAATTAAGCAAATTACGTAAATCACCAAATTATGATATAAATATTATTCAGGAAACAACAATTCCACTTTAAAATGTTTTTTTTTTTTTTGAAAATGAAGTATTGATCGGTACAGTGAATAACTTTTTTATTCTAAGATAAGCAAAAAGTGAGTGAAAATAAATTTAAATGGATCTATTTTATTCATTTAAACTCACTATTTGCTTGTCTTGGAATAAAATAAGTTTTATTCCAAGACAAGCAAATAGTGAGTTTAAATGAATTAAATAGATCTCATTTTATTCCAAGACAAGCAAAAAATTTGGTCTTGTTTTTCTGATAAATCCTTCAATAATTAAAAAATAAAATTTTCCAAAAAAAAAAAATGAATAAGTTAAGTAACTCACAATTTTTTTTTAAATTTGTTTTAAATAAAATAAAATTAATATCATTAATGTTTTATCATTCTTTTGGCATTTAGCTAGTCATAAAGCATTAACTGTAAAATAAAGTCAAACACTAACCATTAATTTAATAGAAGGCTATTATTACAATGTAGCTTTTATATATTTTTGTGTGTAGCACAAATAATTATTACACAGCTGTAAAAAAATATTATTCAAAACAATTGTGATAAATTAGTTTGAAATTTATATTTTGTAAGTGTTTAATATTTAGAACAACTCCACTAAAAATTGAACTTCCGTCTTATAAAAAACATGAAAGAGACTCATTCTCTGACTCAGAAACTGATAAATTTTTAAGTTCATCAATGACTTATGATATTCCGATAGGATCGCATGACAATGAAAAAACTATGGTTGAAAATACTGTCAAGAATTTTCCTTTATTTAAAACTGGTAAAAGTAACGACTTCTCATTTGAAAGATGGCCAAGTGAAAAACTTACTAAATCGATTGAATCATTAGAGTTAACAGAAAATGTGAATAAAAACTCAGAAAATAACTTTAAAAAAGGTATTTATAAAATGTAATTATAATATTTTACTTACTAAAGATTATGTTTCAGTTTTAGTATGTATGTATATATATATATATATATATATATATATATATATATATATATATATATATATATATATATATATATATATATATATATATATATATATATATATATATATATATATATATATACATATATATTTTTTTATCTATTGTATATATCAAGCCTTCCCAGGAAAGGCGTGCGGTTTTTCGTCTCGTATGACCACACACAGTTATAATCTTTTAGAAAATGTGAACACGACCGTTTGCAAGTTTTATAATAATGCTGAAAAAGTTTCAAAAACAAAAAAAAAAAAAACTAACAAAATAAAAAGAGATTGAAATAGAAAAAAATAAAAACAAATTAATAATTTAAATAATTTGTGTACTGTTTTTATTTTTGGTTCTTTAGAGTTACATTCAGCAACAAAATTAGATAAGGCGAAGCAAAAAAAAAACAGTTTGAAGTCTACAATAAAAAGAATGATTTTCCTTTTCTTAATTTTTTTTTATGAGGATAGCAAAAATACAAATTGCAATGTGTTTGTAAAATTTATTTGTATAATTTTAATGTAAAAACAAGGGTTGAATTAAGCGAATGCGAAATGTAAAATTTGGAAAAATATCTAATATTCAAAATTTTAGTTTATACAAAACCGTGTCCCTTGATTTTTAAGGGGAGAATCAACTTAAATTTGTTAGCAAAAAAATAAAAAATAAAACAATAAATTTATGATTACAAAAGTAATAACACTCTTGTCACAAACTGTATTACAAAAGTAATAACACTGTAGTCACTAACTGCATTACAAAAGTAATAACACTATAATAGTATTATTATTTTTATAACACACTTATAACTTTTAAAATTCATTCTTTGTTCAAGCAACATTAGTATTCCCAAATTTTAATTGAAGTAGAAAAATATCTAGAAGAATAAAGTGGATGTTCAAATAATATTAAAACTTGAATAAATTATAAAAATGTGACAAACAACTTTATAAAAACATATCGTATTAAAAGTTTAGCATTATGAACAACGTTACTAATGGACCGTAAAAACGTGCGTTAATTTTAAAATTAACCAATAAAAATTTTTTATTGGTTGATTTTAAAATTAACGCATGTTTTTACGTAATATTTTTCATAATGCTATACTTTTTATAAAGTATTTTTTTATAACATTGTTTAAGTGATATATGAAAGTTCCTGAAAATTTTTAATAATATTTGAATATCCGCTTTATTTTTTCTAGATGCTTTTCTACTTTAATAAATTTTTGGAATTAATAATGTTGCTTGAACAAAGAATGAACTTTAAAAGTAATAAGTAAATTTAATAACACTATTATAGTTTTATTACTTTTATAATGCAGTTAGTGACAAAAGTGTTATTACTTTTGTAGCCGTAAGTTTATTGTTTTTGTTTTGTTTTTTTGTAACTTTCTCGCTAGCAAACTTTTAATAATTTGCTCCTTATAAACAAAGTACACAGCTTTGCATGAACTAAAATTTAAAGACCTAATATTTCACCAGAGTTTGCAAACACGATCGTATAATTTCACTTTTGATATAAACTTGTTACATTATAATTATACTAATATATTTTACAAGCAGATGACGATGCATATTTTCTCTTTTCTCTTTAAAAGAAAAAACACGTAAAATATGGGAAAGTCATCCTTTTTAACGCCTAAAACATTTTTTTTTTTTTTTTTTTGCTTTGGCTTAATGAATTTTGTTGCCGTTAAAATAACCACTAAGAAAAAACAAAAATAAAAACAACACACAAGTTATTTAAACTATTATTATTGTTTTCTATTTAAGTTTACTTTAATTTCTTATGCAGTTATTAAATTTAAAACAATTTTTCAGTAACGCATATAATATAACTTGCGCAAACGGCCGTGATCACATTCTCTAACTTGAAAAACTTTTTCGTGGTTGTACTAGAAAAAAAACCACACGCCTTACCTGGGAAGGCTTGATATATATATATATATATATATATATATATATATATATATATATATATATATATATATATATATATATATATATATATATATATATATATATATATATATATATATATATATATATATATATACTTACTAAAGCGTGTTTTGATAAGCATTTGCTCACTTTTTGAAGAAATAAACGAAGAATGATGAATAAAACGATTGCTTCCCCATCCCAAATCCTCAGTCGATGTAGCAGCACTCCACTGCAAGTCAGGCTATTTGTCAGTCAATGTATGTACTGAAGCCCTCAGCAGCAGACTATTTCAGTATGACGTCAGATTGCTTACCATAGTACGCAATACTATTTGTATATATATATATATATATATATATATATATATATATATATATATATATATATATATATAATGTTCTACTTAATGCTTGCAACATTCATTTCAGAATTATTTAGAATGATTTTAAAATAGTTTATTTTTTAAAATGAAAAAGTTTTTTTTCAAGTTTTCAAAACATACATACATACATACATACATACATACATACATACATACATACATACATACATATGTACGTACGTACATACATACATACATACATACATACATACATACATACATACATACATACATACATACATACATACATACATACATACATACATACATACATACATAAATAAATATATATATATATATATATATATATATATATATATATATATATATATATATATATATATATATATATATATATATATATATATATATATATATATGTATTATATATATATATATATATATATATATATATATATATATATATATATATATATATATATATATATATATATATATATATATATATATATATATATAGAGAGAGAGAGAGAGAGAGAGAGAGAGAGAGAGAGAGAGAGAGAGAGAGAGAGAGAGAAAGAGAAAGAGAAAGAGAAAGAGAGAGAGAGAATAACAAATAGTAGAAACAAGTTGTATAAGTAGTGCTTGGTAAAGTTAAGGTACTACCAAGGATATGGTAGATTAGAATTTAGACCACTCTAATCCAAAAGATATTCATTTTTTAGTTATAGATCCTGAGACCATTATTTCAACCCCACAACTAATTTCAATATATTTATTGATGTGATTTGCTAGAGTTAGTTATTTAAATTTTATTGATGTAATTGGCTAGAGTTATTGATGTGGATAATATTGTCATATAGATGTAATTGCTGATGGTTCTAAAAAAAAGAAAAAATTTCTTCCTGTTCAGTCAAGATATAAACAGTTACTTGAAAGGAAGGTATACATTTTTTCAGTCATATGCAGGGGTGTGGAGTCATAAAAAAAAAGTACTGACTCCGAATCCAATTGTTAAAATTTCTTTAGATTATGACTCCAACTCTGACTCCAAAGCAAAATTTTTGAAAAATCCTTTGAATTCTTTAAAAAATATTACACGATAATTAAAAAAATTTTTTTTTACTGAATATATGAAAAGTTCTTTAAAGGTTAATTATTTTGTATATGCACGTGTAATACCGAGAAGTTTTATTATTGGAGTCGGAGTCGCGATTTTGTTTAGCAACTCCGACTCCGCTAAAAATGTTGCGACTCTGACTCCACAGCCCTGGTCATATATTCTTTCATTTTACTACAGTTTTTCTAATGTACTTCATTTTAGAAATTATTTTAAAAAATATTCTTGAAGTTTAATAAAATAATAATCATTATTATAAAAAATAAAAATATTTACAAGAATATTTTTTTGCACCATCCTATTTATTTTGCTGAAGTGAATTTGAAGTTGATAATTAAGTACTAGAGCATATTAAGTTTGCAAAGAATTTTCGGTTATATAACCTTTATATTTTAATGACCACTTTTTTTGTCCAAGCCAAACAGACTAATTTCTACATTTTTTCATTCTACTGTGAAATACTCCTACTTACATGTGAGTGAAATTCTTAACACCTGAGCCAAACAGTCAAATCTTAACTAGTTTTACTGTGAGTAAAATTTCCCACAGTTGCTCTTTTTTTCTACTCCTCTGCAGCTTGTGAACTGTAACTTGTGTGCATCTGTAGTTTGCATAACTTTTAATACTTTCCAAGACAATCTGGTAGCTACTCTGGTAGTAGATCTTTATTAATTATACTTTTGATCTAAATTAAATCTCAAATTTTTGTAAGCTTAATCAATATAATTGATTAAGCTTAAAAAAATTTGAGATTAAATTTCAAAAGCAGTTATTTTAATCAAACATTTTTAAGCAATTTTTTCAACCTGTTAAGGCCAAGCAATTGTTTAGCAATACACACAGCAGTTGCACAATAATTGAATTTGTTCTGCATTATCTAACAGCATTATCATAAAGCAGAATTTTTTAAATTAGAGAATTTTTGATAAAGAGTAGATTAAGTTGTAAAAAATTAGGTAGTAGAGAAAGTTGTAAAAAATCACGTAGTAGAAAAAACTGTAAAAAATTAGGTAGTAGAGAAAGCTGTAAAAAATTAAGTAATAGAGAAAGCTGTAAAAAACTAGGTAGTAGATAAAGCTGTAAAAAATTAGGTAGTAGATGAAGCTGTAAAAAATTAGGTAGTAGATAAAGCTGTAAAAATTGAAGTGGTAGAGAAAGCTGATTATTTATCATGATGATTAAATATTATATATTAATTAATTTTTTATTATCTTTAAATATTTATTTTATAGGAAGATGCAAGTTCAAGAACTATTGATATTAGTGCAATATATCCCCAAAATATTCAGACAGTAAATAATTATAAAAAGAAAAATTGTGTTACTTCTACACCATTTTTAGCAAGTTCTGTATGTAATCAGCAATATGATGGTAGCATCTTGGATCAGTCTAAGTTTAAGCTTGATGATACTGCTATTTTGAATCAAGAAATCGTCAAAAAAATATCAATGGTTAAACAAAATAAAAAAGGTGTTTTTTCTATGTTTATGGTATAAAATTTAAAATTGAATTAATAGTGTTTATGTTTATGGAATAAAATTTAAACATTGAATAAATAAACAGTGTTTATTTAAAAAATTCAATACAATTGTAGATTGACCAGTGTCAAATATAATAGTTAAAAAAAAAAACTGTAGATGTTCAGTGTCTAATGAAAAAATAAAATTGTAAAAATTCAGTCTAATAAAAAAGTTAAATAAAGCTTTTGATAGACCAGTGTCTACTGAAAACTTTAGATAGACTAGTGTCTACTGAAAACTTCAGATAGACTAGTGTCTACTGAAAACTTTAGATAGACCATTGTCTACTGAAAACTTTAGATAGACTAGTGTCTACTGAAAACGTTAGATAGACTAGTGTTTACTGAAAACTTTAAATAGACTAGTGTCTACTGAAAACTTTTTATAGACTAGTGTCTACTGAAAACTTTAAAATATAGAGCTATAGATTTGCAAACCTTATAAAGATCATTAGATTTAGATCTGAAATAAACAAAGCACTGCACAAATTTAACAGATTAGAAGTAACCTAAACAAAGTTATTTGTAAATAATAATTTTTATTTACTGAACAGTAAATAAAAATATATATATAATATTGAATAGTAATTTGAATAAAATTATAAATAAAAATTATATATATATTACTGAACAGTAAATAAAAATTATATATAATAAAATATTAACAAAAATTATAAACTATTTTACTTTTACAAAACTAGTGAAGTTTCTTATTAATATAACTTGGTCAGTTAAGAGGGAGGAAGCATAGATGGTTGGGTTGGATTGAGTGAGGAAGCACTGATGGCTTTGAAATGTATGAGTAAGAGTACTATAACATTTGGGTTCAAAAGATCTATTGACAGAAGTAACAGCGAACAAACTTAAAGATCTATTGACAGAAGTAACAGCGAACAAACTTAAAAATCTATTGACAGAAGTAACAGCGAACAAACTTAAAGATCTATTGACAGAAGTAACAGCGAACAAACTTAAAGATCTATTGACAGAAGTAACAGCGAACAAACTTAAAGATCTATTGACAGAAGTAACAGCGAACAAACTTAAAAATCTATTGACAGAAGTAACAGCGAACAAACTTAAAGATCTATTGACAGAAGTAACAGCGAACAAACTTAAAGATCTATTGACAGAAGTAACAGCGAACAAACTTAAAGATCTATTGACAGAAGTAACAGCGAACAAACTTAAAAATCTATTGACAGAAGTAACAGCGAACAAACTTAAAGATCTATTGACAGAAGTAACAGCGAACAAACTTAAAGATCTATTGACAGAAGTAACAGCGAACAAACTTAAAGATCTATTGACAGAAGTAACAGCGAACAAACTTAAAAATCTATTGACAGAAGTAACAGCGAACAAACTTAAAGATCTATTGACAGAAGTAGCAGCAAACAAACTTAAAGATCTATTGACAGAAGTAACAGCGAACAAACTTAAAGATCTATTGACAGAAGTAACAGCGAACAAACTTAAAAATCTATTGACAGAAGTAACAGCGAACAAACTTAAAGATCTATTGACAGAAGTAACAGCGAACAAACTTAAAGATCTATTGACAGAAGTAACAGCGAACAAACTTAAAGATCTATTGACAGAAGTAACAGCGAACAAACTTAAAGATCTATTGACAGAAGTAACAGCGAACAAACTTAAAGATCTATTGACAGAAGTAACAGCGAACAAACTTAAAGATCTATTGACAGAAGTAACAGCGAACAAACTTAAAGATCTATTGACAGAAGTAGCAGCGAACAAACTTAAAGATCTATTGACAGAAGTAACAGCGAACAAACTTAAAGATCTATTGGCAGAAGTAACAGCGAATAAACTTAAAAAAATGGCAAAAAAGCAAGAAGTGTAAGCAAAAAATGCTTTGCTTAGGGGGAAAAAAAAAATCAGGCTCAACAATTGGCAAAAGAAACTGATTTGTCTAACTTACTTTCTTTAAATAAAAATTTGTCTAACTTACCTCTTTCAAATAAAAATTTGAGGTTCAAATCCACCCTCTGGAAGTGCCACACTTGTTTCTATGTGCAGCAGTCTTGTTTAACAGATTCGTGTATTAGAGTTTAGGATTAAGAAAAAAAATTAAGTATTAAAAAAAAATTCTTCTTGACTCAAGTTTTTTAACATGTTTTATCATTATTAGTATAGTTTTTATGGCTGTGGGAAAGAGTGCCTATCATTGACTGTGGGAAAGTATGTGCCTATCATTGAATGTGGGAAAGTATGTGCCTATCATGCAGCATAAAGACACTTGTGAATTTTTATTTGTATTTTAAATTGATTATATATTTTGGAATGTATAATACAAGTTCATCATTATGAGCAACTGCACTGCCGTAGTTAGAATCCAGGTTAGAGAGATCAAGCAGTCCTACTAAAAATTTATGCATTGAAAAATTGGTCATAATACTGTCTTCAATACTATTTTGAATGATTTAATGCAAGAAAGCAGCTGAGAAAAACAAAAAAAAAAAAAAAACCTGCAAACAAACAAGAAAGATATATAAAAAATCCAAATCCATAATGAATCCAAAATTTAAAAATAATCAAAATGCAGAAAACTTTACAGCAAAAACAAACATGCTAAGTTTCATTGGTTTTGTCATAATGTATGGACATATGACCCTGAAATCTAAGTAATGTGTTGAAGAGTTTGTCAAAACAAAATGTGAATCAATAAAGTGTTTGAATAAAAGAATTTACAAATGTTTTCACATAAAACCATTGTTTTATGCATTTTAAGTTGTTGCTTCTAATATTTTTTAGCCTATTGTAAACAAATATACAAATATACAAATAGAATTATTATTATTCTCTTTTTGAAAGCTCATTTTACAATATTGATTTTGTGGCAGGAAAATTGTTTTACATTTAAATTTATTCAAACTAGATGTTCTCATTTGATATGAAATTTGAAATTTGTTGCTGCAAAGCAAAACTATCTTAAGTTCATTTTTGGCAAAATTGATTTTTTTGGTTTAAAATACTCCTTAAGTGCATGAAAGTCATGTCACAAAGTATGGAACCAAAATTGATTCAACATTGGAATTAAATTCAATATTGGAATTAAATTTATTTATTTCAGTAATTGTTTTAATTTAATTTTTAACAACAATAATTTTCTATGATTTCTTATTTATTTAAAATGTTTTTTTTATTTTTATTATATTGAAACTTTTAAAAGTCTTTTTAATCCTTATATATAGTTTATTTTATAAAGACTACTAGAGCATAAGTTGAAAATAAAAATAGTTGTTTGGTGTTTTTCACTCTTTACCTTGCATGAAATGTCATTGACTACATGTTAATGAAATAGCCATCATAGAGAACTTCAGTATCAACTAAGGTTTGCATTTTGCAAAGTTCTATCTAAAATTGTATAAAAGTGATTTCTTTTTTTTTTTAACCATTTTATAGGTAAAAAATTTCAGCATTTCTATATTATAACTAAAAATAAAAGTTAAAAAGCTTTAACAGAAACTCATTGTTAGTGTTAAAGAGTTCCAACAGACATCCATTGTTAAAGTTAAAGAGCTCCATCAGACATCGAATTTTAGTGTTAAAGAGTTCCAACAGACACTCATTGTTAGTGTTAAAGAGCTCCAATAGGCATTGATTGTTATTGTTAAAAATCTCCAACAGACACCCATTGTTAAAGTTAAAAAGCTCCACCAGACACCCATTGTTAATGTTAAAGAGTTCCAACAGATGCTCATTGTTAGTGTTAAAGAGTTCCAACAGACACCGATTTTTAGTTTTAAAGAGTTCCAACAGATGTTTTAATGGTTTTCAGAAATTTCAAAAAAAAAAAACTCAAATTCATATCTCTATCCTCTATCTATCTTGACAAAAGAATTTTTTTTTTTGGAATCCAGTGCTTGAAACCTTTTTATTTGAAATATTTAAAACCTGTAACCATTTAGTTTCAATATAAAGCTCTTTTATTATTACTTTATTATCTTTAATTATTAATTTTAATATTAAACATTTAATATATATATAAGCTTTAATATTAAGCTTATTAGTTTTTGTATTAACCTCTGCTTACTATTTGTAAATTCAACATTTTTATTTTTATTTTAATGCTAAATAGTTTAAAATTTTTTTTTAGATAATGTGAAAGGTCCCATTAAAGTATACAAGGTACACTTTTATCACTGTGGACCAAAGAGACCCATAGGTTTTATGTTGTGGCACTCAAACCAAAATGTGTTTTTATCATATATTTTATCATAGTTGTATTTTAACAATGATCTTGTATTATCGTCTTTTTTTTTTTTTTTTTTTTTTTTTTTTTTTTTATCATTAAATAAAATGTAACAAGGGTACCAACAACAATAAAAATGTAACAATAACAAATATATATCTGAAAAAAAAAAAACACTTAAAAAATTAAATGTAAAAAAATGTTTCTATTACTACACCTTTTCAAGATGAAATTGGGAACTTAAAAGTTGTAATTAAGAAACGTAAGATGTAATTGAGAAGATAAAAGTTGTAATTGAGAAACGTAAGATGTTAATTAGAACATGGAAGATGTAATTATAAAGTATAAGATGAAATTTAGAAGATGAAAGTTATAATTGAGAAATGTCAAGTGTAATTTAGAACATGAAAGTTGTAAATAAGAAAGTGTAAGATGTAATTGAGAAGATAAAAGTTGTAATTAAGAAAAGTTTATAATATAGATTATCAGAAAGAAGCTCTTTGTATTTTTAATTTTGTTGCTTAGTTTAACTTGTAATTTAAGGTTGGATCCTAATTTCAATGGCCAAGGTGGCCATGTGGGTTGATTTCAATAAATAATAATTTATCAATAATATTAATATATTATCAATAAAATAAAAAAGTGATAAAAAAGCCATTTTTGGTTTTAGGGGTAACTTGAAAAAAGGTCAATTAAAACTTTGTTGTTGTTGCTGTTGTTGTTGTTGTTGTTTTTGTTGTTGTTGTTGTTGTTGTTGTGAAATTTGAGAAATCAGATGAATAATAAATAAAACACAAATAATTTATTTACAAAAAAATATAAAGATTTAAATTGAATTTAAACAATGTCATTAAAAATCATTGTAATATTCAGTTAAACACCTCATTGTGATGAAATCATTACCAAATCATTGTAATATTCAGTTAAAACACAGTTAAACTTGGGCATCTTCCATATTTAAAATCGTTGCATAATGGTTTGTAGTATGTTGAGCAGCACGCAATCACCTCCTGTTTTATTTTTTGCCACAGTACCAGTTCTTTCCAAATAATGTATTCATTGTTCCACAACCCCAGCATCGAATACAGATGGAATGCAATTTTTCTACAAAAAAAGGTTAAAATTTGTTTCATCAAACCAAAGTATCTGATGATCATTTGTGATTTGTTGGTTGATGTTTCTAACATATTCAGCTCTTTTTTGTTTGTTTTTATTACTGTTTTTTGTAGAAAGTACCTTTTTTTAATGAAAGCAATCTGCCTTTTGTTTCTGCGGTTGTTGTTGTTCTGATGCTAATATTAAACTGTCTTCATGTTTTTTTTTTTTGATAAATTGTCATAATATTTTTGTTTTGATCTTCAGTCAATTTTTTTGGTTTAAAATCACTTTTTCTAATAACATTTCAGCTGCAAACCCAATTGAAAGCTAACTTCCATTTGACCCCTAAATTTTATCCCATAGTCACTCAATCGTCATTTCGCTCAACACATTCAGCAACTCTTCTTCTGTCATTTGGTGAAGATAAAACATAATGTTTTCTTTCAACTTGTTCATTTGTATTTATTTCATGCCTACAAATTGGACACGCTGGTTCTGATTGTTCCAGAAGCGGATGTAAGCAATTTGGAGAAATAAATGCTGACAGGAATTCAATTTAACAGCAGACTTTCGGTTTATAATGTATTGACAAAAACACAATGATCTTTCAATTCCATTATTATTACATAATAATGAAATTGAAGTTCCATTATTATGTAATAATAATTGGTGCCTACAAATGCTTAATTTGATATTATTAACTTATTCAAGTTCATGTTTCAGAAAACTTTTTATGATGACCTATGAGCTTACATTGTGAATTTGCAATTACAAATTATAAACTCTCATTTACATATTATGGTTTCTTATTTACATGTTGTGTTTCTTAATTACATTTTACGATTTTTTAATATACATGTTGTGTTTCTTAATTACATATTACAATATCTGAATTACATGTTATGTTTCTCAATTTCATGTTTCGATTTTTTAATTACAACTTTCATGTTCTCAATTACATCTTGAAAAGATGTAGAAATAACTAAGAGCTATTTATGAGGTAATAAATTTTATTTCATGTTTGTTTTCGTAACCTTTTAACTGTCAATGGCGTATATATACGCAAGACCAAACTTTTATAAAATGGTGTTGACATATATATATATATATATATATATATATATATATATATATATATATATATATATATATATATATATATATATATATATATATATATATATATATATATATATATTTATATATATATATATATATGCAAATATTTGTTTGAAGAAGTGTGACACTTACAATACTAAACCATGAGCAGTTAAACCAGTCCTGTACTCTAGAGCATTCTTTTACGAAAATTTTAAACTAATAATGGCTATTTTTCTAAAAGTGTAACTGATTTAATTTGAGTTTTAGTAAACACTGTTTTAAAATAGCATGTTGTAAAAAAAAGGCTTGTGATGCGAAATGGAACTTAACAGAAGATATTGTTAATATTATGCTTGAAAGTGACGATGAAGTTTCAGATTTTAGTGATAATGATCTTGATGATGTGATAGATGGCACAAATATATCCACTGAAGAGGACAGCGATAATGTTATGAACAATGTCAATTGCTGAAACCAATGAAGATGATGTTACTCAGCCTGTTTCTTTTGTTGTTCCAGCTAAAAAAATGGCAGCGAATGGCTACAAAAAAAAAATTATTGATAATTTATGTTGAACAAAAAGTAAACCTATATCATGTATGTGCAGGCAAATCTTTCATTGTGATCCAGATGTCCATGAGTAGCGATTCCAGAGTGCAACAAAAAACATTTGACGTTTGACAAAATACATGTAGTTTTCATGATATATAATATATATCATATATAATGAAAGATTTGCCTGCACATACATGATATAGGTTTACTTTTTGTTCAACATAAATTATCAATAATTTTTTTTTTGTAGCCATTCGCTGCCTTTGATATATGATATGATATATATGATATATGATATGTATATTATATATATATCATATATATGTAATTTTCATGATATATATATATATATTTTCATGATATATATATAACAATTGCATATATATATATATATATGTCAACACCATTTTATGAAAGTTTTTCATTCACAAAATTCATGTTCATTTTCAATTCGACAAAATACATGTAATTTTCATGAACTTTGATCTCTTATATCTATTTTTATAAATAAGTTAAAACCTTGAGATCTTTCCAACCATATATAGAATTTTGTTTTAGATGGCTTCACTCATGTCTTGACTATTGATTAAAAAAGTTGTCCCAGGAACATTTTTTTCAAACTAAGCTATTGAAGGTCTATATAGTTTATTATGGATTTAGTTATACTTTTTTTTATAATTTTGGAATGTTTCTGACTATTTTTGTTCACTTTATCTAATACCTGCAGTTTTTAAAAATTAACCTGACACTGGAGCGATTGTGCACCAAAACTAGGTGGAGGTTAAGGGGTTAATAAATTGCAGCAAAATATTTTGTGTCAGGTCAGGCATATGGTCATCATTATCACCCTACTACTGGTAATATCTAATCCAGTGCAACCTGTTCCATGTTCTGCTGCCTTGTAGGATTTGCTATCTATACTATTTAATATCTGTCATGTCTATAGCGATTTTTCTTTTTGTTGCCTTTTTTATAGTTAGCTTAACTGTAAGTTAGCTTACCTGTAACTTACTATATATGTATGTTTGTATTCTATCTGAACTTCAGGTGCAATTTTCACTCACCTCTAAGTTGGTATTTGTATGTTTGTATTCTGTCTGAACTTCTGACACAGTGTCCATTTTCCTGTAAGTTCCTACATTTATTCCTATATGTATGCTTGTGTTCTGCATAAATCTCTTATGTAGTGTGAACTCAGTTAATAACTAGTGACTCCATCTAAAACTTACACTCATCTTAGTTTCTAGTATTCTGTTAGATGAAATGTTTTCCCAATACATTTCCAAAAAATCCTGTTCAATGTTTTTAAGTACCGCTTACAGGAAATAGTGTTTTTAAAATACTCCAGGTCAGGTCATGATCATCATGATCACCCTGCTACTGTCATCACCTAATCAAGTATTACCTTCCAGATGCCCTGCTACCTTGTGGGATTTGTTTCTTTAGGCAAAAGCAAGGATAAATAAACTCTGACTTAAAACTCCCCTGCTTCAGCACTCTTGGTTTGAACTACAGATGGTGTCTGGATAAAAATACTCATTTTGAGCAAATGTTAATTAGATCTAGCTACTGTCTTATAGATGGCCTTCTAGAAAAAGACTCTAGGGGTAAGCAGAGTAATTCTGTTGACCAGCCTCACACCCCTTCTTCATATATTAGGCTGGCGTAGGTGTAAACTTGTGTTACATTATTTCCTGCCTAAGACAGCCCTTGACATTTGGCAATGCCAACCTTAAAGTTTTTGAGGTCAGAAAAAAATTACTGACCTTGTTTCTATGTTTTATGGTAACCCCATTGTGTCAAATTTTTTTTGTTGACCTGATACTGACCTCTAACTGTTTAAAGTCAGCAGTTTATTGCCGACCTCATTTTCCCTAATTCCATAGGACTGCTAGGATGATAAATACTGAATCTTCTTGACTCTTTCAGTTATCTCCTAATACAGGTGTCTCTGTTAGTAGTGTGCATTGTCAAGGCCACATAAGGAGCTCTAAGTTACGATTTTGGGTTAATTAGCAGGACTCGGTTAGTATGGATCCTGATAATGCCAGCCTATTTGACTTAAAAATGCCACTTATATGGGATGATAGTAATCACATCAAGGTACCCTGTAATGCAAATTTTGAAATCTTTTTATTTTGCCCTTGAAAAATAATTTAATTTGAATGTTTAAATTAAGTGA